TGCGCTTGCGCTCTGCCAGTGATGCTAAATCAAGTTGAATGGCAACAGGGGAGTAATCATGTGATGGACATTTGATGCCCAAAAAGTAGCTGGTGAATCGCAAGAACCTGCGCTGTATCCTTTCAACCTGGCATGAATTTTTGGCAGTATAGGGATYCAAAATAATAGAACCGTATTCAAAAATTGGTTGGACTAATGAACAATAGAAAGTTTTCAATGACGAAGTTAGATTAAAATCCTTTGACAATCTCAATATTATGCCCAAAACTCTTAGGGCTTTACAACAAACCATTTCAATATGAAAACCCGGGTCAAGGCTACTGGATAGTTTGAATCCAAGTTCCATTACAAATCCATCACAGCGAGAAATAACTGAACCATGGATAAGATATGAGAATGTTATAGTGTAGCGGGTCCTAGTAAACGTCAAGGTTTTACACTTATCTAGATTCAGTGACAAACCTAATTTATCAAAAAGAGTGACAAATCTACCAAAGTCACTTTGCAGTTTAAGACAGTCTTCCAAGCAGTTTATTTGCATAAAAAATTTGACGTCGTCCGCGAAACAAAGAACCTGACAATGATGTAGAGCTTTACTAAGACTGTTAATAAAGATAGAAAATAGTAACGGAGACGATGTCTGCCTTGAGGTACACTAGAAGGGATAAAGAACACATTGGATTTAACATTGGGTAATTTAACCAATTGGTATCTATTTTCCAAGTAGGATTTGTAGCGTCCCAATATACAGGAGGACGAATGACTGGTGTTGAGGTAGATTGATTGAGTGAAATAAGTATAACACTTGATTTGTGATTAATTATTATATATTTATTTGATTACTAGGTATGTAAATAAAACACTTTTACTGCACAAAATGATTTAATTCGAAATATTCTAAGTCCAAATGATTAATTTAGAATGGTGTCTGGCGTGAAGGTGCATGCACTGACTCTGGTGGCTCACGTCTGATTTGAGTCTAATTGGGGCTCTCCAATATAGTCCTACTCCCTGCGTTTCCTCTCCTATCGATAAGATAAGTATGTGTCCATGGTCGGGTCGTGCAAAAGCATACGCGAGTATTATTTTAATATCGCAGCTTCCCATGCTCGTGCGACCGGTCGGTTAGGTATTTACATATTCGCGATATGTAATCTCAATAACCCGATGACATTAATCATCTCTAGGTATGCCTGTCAATACTACGATTTCATATTTAATATTTCGTAGAACTAATTCTAACTATGGCGATATTTTGAAAAGGCTAGTAGTTTGGCCTTTAATACAGCTATTGAGGTCTTACACAATATAACTGGTTGGCGAAATCATACGCCCCGGGGACACTTACGTACACCTACATGTATATGCAGATTTAGTGGTTTTAGCGGGACGTCAGTACATAGCAGATTTTAGCCAAGATAATAGAGGCTCAACAGTACCAAAATCTTTAAGAATTTGTATTAAGACAGTATGGTTGATGGTATCAAAGGCCTTATGAAAATCAGTGTAAATACCATCCATCTGCGAATGGTGTTGAAAAGCATTGAAAATAAAATTATGAAAAATTAGACTGTTGGTGGTGGTAGAAAGGCCAGGGCGAACCCCTGTTGCTCATCCGTGATAATATTGTTGAACGATCTTTGAACCTCTATTTGGACCAAAGATTCAACAATTTTGGCTATATGCGATAAAATTGAGAGGAGCCTGTAGTTGGAAATAACAGACGGACATCCGGACTTTAAAATTGGCGTGATTGATCCCAGCTTTAAAATTTGTGGAAAGATGCCTTCATCAAGTGATCGCCTAAAAAGGATCCAAAGGGGRTACGATATAATAGACCTTAGTTTGAAAAGAAATACAACAGGTAGCCTGTTGTATTATATATATATTATATTATATATATCTGGACCGACGGTCTTATTACAGTGTAGTTCAGATATTTTTTGGAAGACACCATTAGCGCTTAATGAAACGTTGCTGGACAGATCAAAAGGGTAGGTGTATAGACTATSAAAGTCGCAAGGAATATCCATGGAAGTATAAACAGAGGAAAAGTATGTATTATGAAATGTGATTACGTATTTACTATTTACGTGAATTCAAAATTTGTTCTCAGTTAATATTTAATAATTAATATTCATATTTCATAATTCATTACATATAACTTTGTAGGTCGTAGGTACCTATTTAAACTATGCTGCAGTAATAAGAATGCTATTTAATACTTAGTTTTATACTAATATACTCTATTTTTAATGTTTATAGAAAAATTTTATAAATTATACATTTAAAAAAATGGTTATTTCTAAATAATAATTAAAAAAATAAAATAATATTTATATCCAGTTTAAACTTTAATTTTAATTTTAAAAATAACCGGAATTTTGTTTTTCGTTATCACTGTCAAAATCTCAAAATCAGTGTTTCCCTTCACTAGTGAGTAGTTTATGGGCCTTAAAAATCCCAAATTCTTACAATAAAATAGATAACCATATATTATATTAAAATTGTTTTTATTGATCCATCGGAAACTATAGCAATTAGTATTTTGGTATAGGGGTTACTCTATAACTTCATATGTCTATTATATACCGAAAAAATGAATAATATTTTTAAAATTTTCAAACGACTGCAATTTAAAAAAAAATTATTTAATCATAAAAAGTATCGAGGTTCGCTTCAAAATATTTTCCTCTTTCATTTTCATAATATTGATGTTTTTATTCTAAAATCTCTTCTATGCGATATATTTTCAATAAAATTAAACATGCTATATCACACTAAAAATCACCTTTTTACAAAATCGGAATTTACGTATTTTGTTAAAAGATTTGAATTATACATCTAGAAAATAATTAAATTTCATAATATCATAGCTATTTAGAATGTGAAGAGAAATAATTTGGTGTAAACTGTACAAGTGTAACGAATAATTTATTTATGGCGAACACAAATTATGGCGAAAAAAGAAAAAAGAAAAAGAAAAAAGAAAAAGAAAAAAGAAAAAGAAAAAAGAAAATGTTTCAAATCAAAAACATCGGCAAAGTGAGCAGCAGCAGCTAGGTTAGTCAACGTGTGCACTATGTGTAAAATACCGTTTGATGATAACGGTCATGAGCTCCTGGAACTCAGCGGCATCCTGCTTCATCCGGTTGTCGTCTACGTCGTGGCCGCTCTTACTATTGTCATCTGGCAAGTGGCTATATCCATCGCCCCACCGCTTAGCGACAAGTTGCAGCCAGCTGGCTGTGGGCAACAGGTTGAATGGTGGTGGCATGTCATCCAGCAACATATAGCTGACGTACACCTGGGTTCGGCCAAAAAGCCACTCATATTCAGCGTTGTCAGCCACCCGCTGAAATGTGTCTGACATGGCGGCGACCAACATGTTCATCATGACGATGACCATGAGTACCTCGAACACAGCAAACAGTCCGTAACCCACTAGCTGGGTGAAGTGATGTGGCTGGACAGCTGTATCCACGCCACCGGTGGCGACCACCATGTTATCAACCACCACGTTGGGCGCGTCTAGCGAAGTCATGCAGAATATACCCCAGAACAGCGTCTTAAACGTGTCGCTGACGGCGATAAACGAGTCCTCCTGCCGGACCATCTCACCWGTATCACGGTCCCTATGCGTCATGCCTGCATAATAAGCGTAGTATGTACCTAGACCGCACGTGAACGCCGCCATAATGATGACCAGGAACGTGGTGAACTTCGCGAAGTCGTACAGCACCTTTCCTAGAGACACCTGCATTGGTCCAATGTCACAGTTGAGCTGGCACAGGAACAGCAGACGCATGTAAGCCATAACGGTGGCCACGGCGAATAGAGCCTCAGCTACCAATTGCGGGTCAGCCCAGTGCCAGTATTTTCGGTCCAAGTCGTCAGACATATAGCCGGCCAAGGCTAGAGCGCTCTCCACCGCCCAGCACAGGAACGCCAGCGTGAAGAGTGTTAGTTTTACCGTGTCGAACACGTTCCATAAGTTTCTGAAGAATCTCTCCGGGCCCTGCTGCATCCGAAGCTTTATCTTCTCAACCCCGTGGCCAAGTAAAAACACGGCGATCAGCAACCAAGTGCTTAACTCTTGCACACCCCTTCGTGCCATGAACTTGTCAGCGTTCGAATGCACGAACAGCAATACCAGAAACACCAAATACACGACCAGGCTGTTAAACATCCGGTTGATCGGCAACCGATTGACCTGGTTCCACTTCGAATTGGGTGCCAACATGCCAAGCACCACCATGACAGGTAGCATGAAGAACCTCATTAGGAGGTATGCCAACTTCCACAGCACCGAGTAGGACTTCCACTCGATCCAATCACCCAGCCACGCCGTCTCCAACACATGTTGGATATTGGTATGCGCCACGAACTTCTTTTGCTTATAGTCCATAGCCGTTATCAACCTAGGATACGGAAACTCTCCTCTAAACTTGCATCCGTCTCGATTTCGCAACATTATCTTCACTTCCTCTGACGTCCTACAATTCACTATCATATCAACCGCAAATTGTGTTACCTGCAGCAGAATGTAAGTGTAGATTTAGTTTTTGATATGAAACATCTAATGTGACAGGCGAATCCGTTTGTCGGCATAGTGATGCTCTGAATAAGATTATGCGCGGAAAGCATAAAAAGCACTCAACGTACGAATAATTTTCAATGTTTGACTCCATCAGGTGCCTCGTGACGGCTCACTTTTTTTAAGAGTTTTAATTGTAAAATAGTGAATATTTACATTATATGGTTAAATAAAATAAATGTATTTGATTATTATTATAGCATATACAAAATAGGTATAGAAATTAAAAAGTTATTTTTATTCTTTAACTCAACTAGTTAAATTTAATTTTAGTATAACGGTCAGACACTCGGACACAATATTTTCGGATGTTTTAAGAGCTTATTGTGCTTCCTAAATGCACGAAACTTTTGATACTCACCTGTTCGGCCATTGACGTGTAGGTGGCCTTGTACACAAGTTCTTCGGATCCACACCTCATCAGTTCGTCACGCAACTGGAAGCATCTGAGTACTGGATCGGCGCTGGTGGACGTGGTGCATATAAACGTCGGATTGCTGATAGCCCAGTACGCATTTAACCGTTCACAGCTATCGGTAACCACCTCACCACGCTTGGCCGCGGCTGCGCACCGTTCATCACAAGTGCATCGCGGTGGGTGCGGTCTGTCCAGCGTGTGGCCGTGGTTCAGCAAATATTCTACCGTCTCATACAGACCGCATTGTGTRGCCAACAACAGTGGCGTCATAAATTGTGGGAACTCTTCCGAATCGTAGTCGTCAGAAGGGCCAAAGGTATTCGACTCTATCTTTTTCCACCCACTGGCTCTGCCATGAATTTTGGCTTTGCCATTGATCTCCTCGAATTCCAGAAGTCGATCCAGCAGCTTAAGGTTGTCGCACGTGATCGCCAACAGCATCGAATCACCAATTACCACACCTGCAGTTTATGTTATATTATATAGTACCAGCTATTATTGCATCAGGACSAAATTTTGGCAGTTATACTAAACAATATTAGGCGAGTGATTAATTTTGTTAAGGTGGAAAATTTTTTTTATAATTTCTATAATTCTTAAACAAGTAGGATATATTTTGACTTGAAATGATGGGTTTACTGTACCACACTACCACGAATCTATACGTAGCGTAATTTAAAATGTCACAAAAGTCAAACTGGTACCTAATAAAAATCATCAAGTAGATACCTATTCGAAGTTACAAATAAAGGTAGTTGATGACTTAATTTTTTTAATAATGTTAACAAGTTTTACTGTATAAAAATACACATGTATATTGTATTTATTCTTAATTCATGTACCTATGAATGTATTAATTTTTGCGATGAGTATTTTTATCTGTGATCACATTTTGAATTACTAAAAATTCTAGAATTTTTGACTTTAATATCTTTTTCGGTAAAAAATTGAATCAAATTACTATTTTGAAGAGTTAAAAGTAAAAAGTAGAACATCAGCTGTATTGAATTCAATAATAATAATTACATACCAAACACAATTCTATGCGAAAAAAGTGTGTCATCCTATCATATTTGTATAAATAATTATATTTAATAGTTATAAAAAYATTAGTCATAATCAACAATATGTCATGGCTATATAGATTAGGTAGATAACTTTCCGGCAGCACTTATTCCCCAAATCATTATTCGAATTTTGGGGTTTAGGTAATCAGGTAMKTGATGCATTCAAGTTTCCAAACATCGGAATAGCATATTCAAACAAGTGTTTGGGTGTTTRCAATCAACTTTATTTAGGTACATTTTCCTAAGAATCTTAAAAAAGCTAAGTCGAAGGATATAAATTTAGGACGGCGAGCCAAAGAGAAATAAAATAAAATATAAATCACGATTTTCTGATTTCCAGAGAATTGGGAAATATAGCCTCGAATACAATATCGCTACAATATTCTTTACTAAATTATAATAATACAGATTGGGAAGTTGATTTGCAAATAAAACTAGATATTAATTATTAGAGGTATAGACAGGGCTGGTCAGGAGGCGGGAGCCATGGGACCAATTTGCACCTATTTCGCTTACAATGTTGCGGCCGCTGTGATTCAAAAAAAAAATTAAGTAATCATCTATATCTTCATAGATACATAGATTAAGTAGATTAATATACTCAAGCACTTTAGTAGTAATTTTCAAAACACTATAACAAATATTTAATAATTTTGACAAGACTTAGTGTTTAAAAAAAATAGTCAATATGAAAATAACACTTTCATTAAATCCAAAATGTATTAGTAGAACAATACTTAATTAATTCACACTTCATTTTAATCTACTGTGGACTAAATTAATCTCACATAAGATGGTATAAATAAGAAAAAAATCKCGAAATATAACATATTTTGGTTAAGTAAATGCAATTATTATAAACATAATTAACGTATCTTTTATTTTTACACATTTATTGCAAAAAATTAAAATAATAAATATTTCTCTATATATTATAGCAATAGCTATCTCTATTAAATTATAATCAATTTTTTCAAATATTATACTGTAGTTAAATTTTTTATCTCGTATTCGGTCCAAATTGTACATGCAAATTAAAATAGGAACATAGAATGCCAGAACAATGTTACAGACAGGAAAATTAGAAAATGTAAAAATTGAAATGGATAGACAAAATATAGAAATATTAGGTATYGGTGGAACAAGATGGGGTGGAAATGGTGATTTTACATCAGACCTGTACAGAATAATACACTAAGGGAAACAATCAGAAAAAGCCGGAGTGGCAGTGGTATTAAACGAAAAATGGGCACAATCAGTTATCGGACAAGCCACAATTTCTGATAGATTAACAATGGTAAAATTAAGATCATACCTAAATTACATGATACTATTACAAGTATATATGCCTACATCAAATGATGACATTGAAGAAGTTGAAAAAATTTACGAAGATATGGAAGAATTTTTAAAACTAACAAAACAAAAKGAAAATCTCATCATAATTGGTGATTTCAATGCAGTCATTAGTGAAGGATCAGATGGAAGAGAAGTTGGAAATTATGGATTAGGAAAAGGAATGATAGAGGTGACCGACTACTGGAGTTCTGCAGACAACATAAGTTGGTTATTTCTAACATTTTATTCGACAATCATAAAAGAAGACGATACACGTGGAAGATGCCTGGAGATCTTGGAAGATACCAAATAGATTTTATACTAGTCAGAAATAGATTCAAGAATCAAGTCAAACCATGCAAAACATACCCAGGTGCAGACATTAACAGCGACCATAATCTTTTAATGATGAAATGTGACCTAAAATTCAAAAAAAAAAAAAATAAGCCAAATAAGAAATACCACAAATGGAACTTAGAAAAACTAAAAAAAAACAGAAATAACAGAAAAATATCAAAATAAATGTGACGAACAAATCAACTGCCAAAAGTACCTCAACTTTGAAATAAATGAAATATCTATAGAGAATCGTTGGCATCAGATAAAGGAATCCATTACCTTAGCAGCAGAAAGCTTCTTAGAAAGAAAAAAACAAGACCCCAAACAAAAGTGGATAACTCAAGAAATAATTAACGACATACAAAAAAGAAGAACGCTTAAAAATAAAAATTATCCAGATAGTATAAGAAAATATAGAACACTGAGAAATAAGATAAATAGAGAAGCGAGACGTGCAAAAGAACAATGGAGTGAATCACGATGTAAAGAAGTAGAAACCACAATGAAGAATGCAAGACAAAGCCTACAAAATAATAAAAACATATTTTGGAGAAAGAAAAACAAAATGTGCATACATCAAAGATAAAGATGGAAATATACTAATTGAAGAAGAAAAAATAGCTGWCCGATGGAAAGAATATGTAGAAATATGAGGAAAATGATCCCGAACCATTTATCCGAATGCAAATAAATGTAGACTTACAAGGAAACATGATGACTACAAATATTTTAAGATCAGAATTCGAATATGCATTAAAAATTATAAAAGCAAACAAAGCACCGGGACCAGATAATATAAACACAGAATTACTACAATAAGTCGGCACAAAAACAAAAGAAGAACTAATACACGATATATACAACACAGGGAATGCTCAAAAAGACTTTAACAAAAGCACACTAGTACTATTGTCTATTACCAAAAAATCAGAGGCAGATCAATGTAATAACTTCAGAACCTTAAGCCTAATATCACATGGCACATGCTTCTAAACTCCTAACAATAATTATAAGTAAAAGAATTGTAAATAGAATTGAAGAACAACTAGATTATGATCAATATGGTTTTCGAAAAAACAAAGGCACCAGAGAAGCAATACTAAGCCTAAGATTAATATCTTAGATAGATAGATAGACAGGGTTAAAGAAGATATAAACAAGTGCGCCCAGAGATTAACTTTAGAAGATAKTATTGACAGAGATACTTGGAAAAAAGTAGTAGAGGCAGCGAAAGTCCTTCAAGGACAGTAAAAGCTGAGAAAGAAGAAGAAGAAGATTAATATTAGAAAAACAATTAGATAGACAAAAGAAAACCTTTATGGCTTTTCTAGATTTAGAAAAAGCTTTTGATAATGTCAATTGGAAAATACTATTTAATATAATGGAAAATGTTGGAATAGACATCAAAGACAGAAACATCCTACATGCAATATATAAAAATTAAGAAGCCGAAATTAAAATCAACTCCACTACAAAGACTGCTAATATACAAAAAGGAGTAAGGCAAGGACGTCCACTGTCGCCATCTTTATTTAATGTCTACGTGGAACAAGCGATAAGAGAAATAAAACAAAAACTAGAAAAACAAATGATAGTAGTAGTAATAGGAGGTATATTAATATCAATGATACGATTTACAGATGACATAGTTATGCTCGTCACATCTGAAAACTATTTACAAACAGCACTTATTGAAATGGATAACATATATTTTATAAAATTAAAATTAAATATAAATACGGGAAAAACAAAAGTAATGATATGTAGTAAACAAAATGAACCAAAAATTAATATATCCCTAAATGGAAAAATAATAGAACAATTAATAGATCAAAGAAATATTTAGGAAGCATAATAGATAATGAAGGAAGATCAAAAAAGGATATAAAAAGAAGAATAAGTCAAGCAAAAAAGGCATTCATACTTAAGAGTAAATTACTAACATCTATAAATGTAGATCTAAGAACGAGAAAACGTTTAATTAAAACATACGTGTGGAGTACAGCATTATATGGTTGTGAAACATGGACGATGAACAAAAAAGATGAAATCACTCTAGACGCTTTTGAAATGTGGGGATGGCGTAAAATGGAGAAAATAAAATGGACGGAATTTAAAACAAACGAAGAAATATTAGATTAAGTCAAAGAGAAAAAAACATTGCCAAAAAGTTTAAGATCAAGACGATGGCATATGATAAGTCATATGTTAAGACACAATGAAGAACTCCATAGCTTCATACTGGAAGGTATGATAGAAGGGAAACGCGGAAGAGGAAGGCCAAGAACGTGTTACATAAGTCAAATAATAAAAGATGCAAGAGTCAATTCATACAAACGACTTAAAGTTAAAGCACAAGACAGAGAATCATGGAGAGAACATTTACTGTAAACCAATCCACGGATTAAATACAAAAAAAAAAAAGGGTTCGAATAACGGAGGTTTGGATAATCGAAGTTCTACTGTATTCAATCTTACCTATGAAAGTAAAATGTTTCTAACATTCAACTGAAAAATAACTTATAGATTTGTATGGGTATAAATAATTCAAAAATGTAAAAATAGTTTGAAACTTTTGCCAATAAGGGAAAATTGTAATTTTGGTAGTTTCTGCGGTAATTAAATGAAAAGTAACTGTAGATAGGTACCTACTGGCTACTTAAAATGTATAACAAATATTTTTAAAATKTATTTATT